ATCATTCCTATTTTAATTGCCAACGAGATATGATGGAAGGAAAAGGACTGAATGCAGACGAGTTAGGTTTGTTTTTTTAAGATGCTGTTATTTTTTGGGAAGCTCTGGTAGCTTAGTGCCTAAGACACTTGACTGCTAACCTTCAGAAGGCTGGCAGTTCAAACCCACCAGCCACTCCTCGGAAGGAAGGTGGACAATCTACTTCCCTAGTGATACCGCCTCGGAAACCCAAGGAGGGATCACTGTGAGTCGGGTCCGACTTGACGGCACATAACAACAGCAAAAACAACATTATTTTAAAAAAAAAATACATTTTATTGAAATATAATTTATGTACAGAGAAGTACACAAAACTAAAGTGACATGGGTTGATGAATTTTTTTTTTTGTAACAGTGTTTCTTCCCTTCCCTTCCCCTCCCAATACCTGGTAACCAACAAAGTTTCCTTCCATATATAAACCTCTCCTTGACTTTTTACAGTAATGAACTAATACTATATTTGTCCTTCTGTGATTTACTTATTTCACTCAGCATAATGTCCTCCAAGTTCATCCATGTTATGTGGTATTTTGCAGATTCTACATCATTCTTTAGTGTTGTATAGTATTCCATTGTGCAAACAAGTTAGTTTTAAGGGGAAAAAATGCACTGAATACTGTTTTTAATGTTGCTGTATTTGCTGACTTGGATGTACAAGAGAGTTTGAAAAGGGAATTTGTGTAAGTACATTTGATTAGCTGCTTTTCTTACAACAGTGTAAAAGTACCATTGCTTCTAGGGGCTAGGAGGCTGGTTTTGTGATTCGCTTTATACCTTGTGAGTTTTGTCGTCTTTGCACTGTTTAATCTGTTGATTCCTCAGGCCTTCATGTTTCCTTGGCTGTGAAATGATGGGCCAGTAGATAGTTTTATACTGTGTATTTCTTCCTGCTTAGTTAGGAGGCAGCCCAGTCTCTATAAAGTGCTTTGGAATGGGGAACGCTGCGGATGGCACATGGATTGAGTGCAGGAAATAATGCCTACTGCAGGACAAACTGGTCATGACTAGATTCTCAAGAAGGAGCCAGTGAACTAAACGGAGCCAGGTCATCTGATGGGAGGGCTGGGGGATGAGAGGACGGAGGAAAATGGACACTGAGAAGGCATTTGAACATAGAGCTCAGGCTGGTTCAGGGGGGACGGATTCACGTTTCAGGTAGCGGAATATATTGGCTGTTCGTTGAGAATGTGCTTACTGATTTCTTACTGACTATGCCCTTGATAAATGCATTTTCAAATGAATGAATACGCATGATACCTTTACTGAGTCCTGGTTGACGTGCTTAGGCAAGATCGTGGAAGACTTCAGAGCATCTCGCTAGCTCTGGACTTGGAGGGTTCCTGACGTTTGACAGGCCCTCCTCCTTCCAGCGCCTGAGTGGTGCCTTTCCTCTGTCTCCATGTCACTGGAGTTGTTGCTTCCCCGCGTGATTATTTTTAACAACCGAGAGCTTCATTCCTTGAAGCCTCAGGGCTTAGATTTTAAAGATGGTTTCATAAAATCCAGTCATATATGCACATTTGTTTCTTTCTTATTACATAGTTGGAGCTGTCTGATTTCTGAGACAGGATTAGGCTTCAAATCCATTAGCAGTTGAAATAGTATTGGCGTCAATTCAGCTGTTGTCTTCATAACAGACTAATTTTCTTTCCTGTTTCCTTTTGGTTAATGGTACTGTTTGTCAGCTGCTCTACTTTTCTAGCTCTTTCTCAGGAAGTAGAAATGACATTCTTAAGATGAATGCTGTATGTGACAGTAAATGTCAAAACTGGTTTTTGATGCAAATTTTTACTAGCTCGTGTAAGCCCTTAAAAGTTTAAAGATATGTTTGTTTCCTGAACAACAGCAAATGGAAATTTTAGATATTACTGTTTTCTGTAGCATCTTAGCATTCTTGGTGGTGGTGGTGGTGACCTTGACCGCATGGCTGAGGGAGTGTTGCCTGCCTTCTCCACTGTAGGGCTATTCTCCACCTCCTCACCCCCATACTGTCCCCTTAGGAAGGAGGTCACTGCACGCATCCCACACTGAGGGAGGAGAGAGGGAGGGCTGAGTAGCTCGGTACATTGTTCGGAATTCTTCTGCATGGAGCTTGGTCTCTTCTCCTATCTATTCAGTCATTTATATCAGTGTGGACTCATGGAGATTTATTTACGTTTTGGGTTATAATCCAACGGCTCCGATAAAACCCACTGGTTTAGCTCTGTAGTTGCGCTTGAGGGCAGGCCGTTGTCCAGGAGAGCAGACTGTTTCAACATGGTTGATTTTCCCTCTCCCTGTTAAGAAGCACAAGGAGATTTTTCTCTAACTTCACAGTGAGAACCTGCTGGGGGTTCCTGGAGGTAAAACTCAGGAAAGTGTGGGACTTCCAAAGGCTGAGCCTCCATGAGTCTTTCTGTCAAGCTCGTCCACCTCCAGCACTGAGTCTGTACCTTCAAGAGGTCTGTCCTGGTGCTGGCTCCGGTGCCACGTGTAGCTCCCGTCAGCTGACTCTCTGCGTCAGTCTGCCCGTCTCTCCAGTTGTCGTGGTGGCCTTTTACCCTGCGGCCTCACTTCCCTGCCGGATCTAAGAAGAGTGGTTGATTTTTGGTATTTCTGCTTTTTTCTTGTGATGAGGTCAAGAGTGATGACTTAGAAGCTCTTTACATGCCAGACTGGAAGACCTTTGTATTTGTACAGCAACTCTTAACTAGGAAAAAGAATGGGATCATGTACCTTATTATCCAAGGCTTCTATCTAGTTTTTCCCAGTTCAGTCATGGTCAGGGAAGTGAAACTAGGACAGACCCACATTTTTAAAATTTGGGTGAACTGGAATGGGAAAAATTATGGGTCAAAACCCTGCTAGGAACTTAATTTCCCTTGTAGAAAACAAGGGTAATGTGCACTTTGCCTAGCAGCCAAATCTCTTGCCCGTTGGATTTTGAGCAGGGGCGGAACCCAGCTTAAAGATGGTGGCTGACTGTGCCATGCTGAATGTGTGTCACTCTGCACAATTTTGCCAGTAATCCATTCTCACACATCAGACTCCCGAAAGGGCTCCCTGTGTCTCTTCTGAATCACCTGTTCCAGGGCTTCAATCCATAATTTAACCTGTTCCGGTTACCTACCAGATCACCCACATTTTAAAATTTTGTGTCTGTTCCATTTTCCCTTTGTCGGCCGTGACTGAATCGATTTGAACTGATTGCAGGCCCTGGCCTTACCAGACTGAGGTGATCACAGACCAGCCTGAGCAGAAGTGGGGGGCAGCTCAGCATTCTCACCCAGCCCTCTCTTTTCATGTTCTCATTGTGGTAGTGCAGCTTGTGTGTCAGCGTGGCTGGGCCACGGTCTTGAGTGGCTTACCCACTGGGTATAGTTATTCCCCATGATGAGACTGTAATCACCTCCATGGTGGAATCTGCTGTCAGCAGCTAAGTAGTTGCCTTCCATATTGCCCTATGTCCAGTATACATGGAAAAGCTTTGAGGGAGGTCTCTAGCTTTTTGGCATATTTTACATTTGGCCAAGTCTTCATCTTCAGTTCCTGGACTTGAACCAGTGGCCTGCCATGTTGCCTACTGATTTTGGAATTGTTAACTTTTACAGCGATTGTGCCATTTTACCTGTTGACTTTGAGTTTGTCAGCTTCCATGGCCAGTAGCCATGTGAGTTAGAAGACACTTCCAGTTCAGTGGACCTGGAACGAGAGGTGGAGCTGAAGCCCAGGGTCGAGGAGCCTTCACCCAGCCCCTAGAGTCAGCACTCTGAACTCGAGCTTCTAGCCTCCTAGACTGTAAGAGAATAAATGCCTGTTTGTTAAGCCATCCACTTGTGGCATTTCTGTCATAGCAGCACTAGAGAGCTAAGACATAATATACCATTTCTTTCCTAGCCTTGAAACCAGACAGATGGGCTCCTGCTTGGTGTGACTCCCAGATCAATAAGGAGCCACCAGGCTTTGAGGTGCTGAGAAAGAAAGCTGTGTTGTAGACTGCCAAGCAAGGAGCTTAGAGATTACGTCTCAGATCAGGCTTCTCCAAGCTGGGCATTTCAGGGCTGTTATAGGACATGGAATAGGGAAATTATGATTCTTCACGGCTTTCAGAGAACTCATTAACTATGCTTTAGGCTCATTAACTTGGGGGAGGGTACGGTGTCATGGCTGCCGAGGGGTGCGTTTTTCCGGTTCTTACTTCTGTAGTCAGTTAAACACACAGTCCAAACTGATCATCCATGGCCAATGGGAGGGGTTGGGAGAGGAGATTGTTCTGGGTAAAGAGCAAAATATCTATCAGGAACTTGGCTGTTATCACAGCCCTTGTGGTAAGGCCATCTAGAGCAAGGCATTCTTACAGCCTTTATGTGGAACCACAAAATACAGTTTAATAATTATTTACTTATCCTGCAAAATATTCTGTTTTCTCCTGTCCAACTTGAAAACAAATGAATTGAAAAAAAAATTAAGGTGATTTCTCTTTTCATTCTTTTGTTGGGTCAATGTTTCTACAAGAAAAAGTTTTATAACTTAACAAAGAGTTTGTCTAGGGAAGGTGATGGCAACACAGAGAAAATTTTAGGACCCAAGGAGGGGTTGCTATGAGTCAGGTCTGACTCGACAGCAGTGAGTTTGTTTGTTTTTTTTTGGTTTCAGCCTGAGGAAAGCACGACTATAATAATTAATTTTTATTATTGTTGTTGTTGTTGTTGTGTTGTTGTTGTTGTTATGTGCCGTCGAGTCGGCCCCGACTCATAGCGACCCCTCCTTGGGTTTCCGAGGCAGTATCACTACGGAAGTAGGATTGCCCAACCTTCCTTCCGAGGAGTGGCTGGTGGGTTTGAACCACCAGCCTTCTGGTTAGCAGTCAAGTGCTTTAGCCACTATGCTACCAGAGCTCCTAGTATAAATAATTAATTTTTAAAAGATTTTTAGTAGAGAAACATGTCAGACTGTTCACGTTGTGTGTCTGCCCTTCACAGGCAGAGAATCCCCCGGACGGACCCGAGTGTGGTTATGGCTCCTTTCACCAGCAGTACTGGCTTGATGGGAAGATCATTGCTGTGGGCGTGATTGACATCCTCCCGCACTGCGTGTCCTCTGTGTATTTGTACTACGACCCCGACTACTCCTTTCTGTCTCTGGGTGTCTACTCTGCGCTGAGGTAAGATTGCTTTGGGCAGTTGTAGTGGGTCAGATGGCATTTCAAATCATTCCTCATTTGATCGTGTTTTATTACATAACAGTAGAAATCCTACTTGGTAGGACACTAATGGACTTACTGCTCTAGGAGGATTTTAGCCACACAGTGATACTTAGAGAGTCCCACCTTTTGAACTGATGCCAATGTCTGATGATAATTCTCTATCCTCTAGGGTATCCATGTAGTGTATTGTGTGAGAGAAGTCATTGTATTTGTGTGATGCTTTTGTTGTTAAGTTTATTCATTTATAAACATCCCTGTCAGAACTTAACGTTTCTTAAATGTTGTTTTTGTCCTTTTTTTGTGTTATCACTGTCAGATATATGTTTTCATTATTAATTAAAAGCTAAATGAATCTAATGTGAATGAATTAAAACAGTATCTGTAGTCTGAAGAAACAGTGACGTGAGTATGCAGAGCAGGGGTCCCCTGGCTGTCTGCTTGACACGCTGACCTTTGTCAGCCTGGTTCCCCTTTTATGTCTGTGGCTACAGTTATATGCAGCACAAAGCTTTTAGGTGTGTTATCCTAATGGTGAGAAGATTAAAGTGTTTTATTTATTTTATTTTTTTTTATTGTGATTTGGGTGAAAATTTACAGAGCAAATTCACTTTCCGTACAGCAGTTCACATACACTTTGTCTCATGACCTTGACCACAATTTCCCACAATGCAACAGCTTCCCTCCCACTTCCTCCCTATAGTTACCTCTTCCCTGTGTCTATCCCTCCATGCACTCCTGCGCCGTGAGCTGTCTCCCTGCATAAGCAGCCCTTCTTTCTTCCATGCTTGTTCTCTCCAAGGAGCGTATCTACCGCAGGGAAATGTTCAACTCATATACCTGTCTATTGTTGGCTGGAAGCCACAGGCGTGGGTTCAATTCCAGACCTGAAGGGCAGCTAGGAGCCATACTCTCAGTGCTTCCACCAGGCTCTATTGGACCAGCAAACCTGGTCGCCTCTTTTT